CGATTGTTATTTCTGGTTGTCACTGCCCGCATGTTATAGCTCTTACACAACTTCGCACGCCTAAAACAACGGGGGATGAGTATGAATGTTTGTTAACAGTGCCGTCAGGGTGAGTGGTTTCCACATGTCCCCAAACTGGGACTTTTTGTGTTTTAGATGCTTTTTATTACACCGCACCTGAAGTGTAAGATATGATAGGCACGCTCTGTGACCAAGGTCAGAATGCAGCGGCTTAGGCCAGGGTAGAATAAATATGAACAGTTGTCTTATTCATCGAGTGGATGCTCACACCGAATGATCAAACGTATGTGGCTCCAAACGTCTATGTGCCGCGGAAACCATGACCCGGAACATAAGCTGAGATTATTTTAATTTATTGCTTAACTGCACACAGGTTAGCCTTCTCCTTATCAATATTTTACAAAACTGCCTAAAAACTAAATAGTGCAATTTAAGTCCACACCCCCGCTCTGAAGAGCGGGTTTGTGGGCTTTAACTGCAGCTTTACTGTGACACTATATTCAAGTGATTCGCATGCGAGTCGCTTCAAAGCGTTAAAATCGGCTCAGAACACTTCACGCTCGGTCAGCCTTTGACTCTTCCCCCACCTCCGTTTTGCTCTACCGGAAGAAAGCCGTAAATCGCTGTATGACTGGTGTAGATAATTACTACATTAGAGTAACTGTCACATTCCGGCATGCGAAATTCCATGCCATAAATGTGGTGCACCTCATCACTTGTAATCCCTGTTGCGACCGTCACTCCAATTACATCGGCATTGCCAGGCGCAGTGTCACCAGGCGTTACCAGACGTAGTGCTACCAGGCATTATCAGACATAGCATACGAGGCATTGAGTCCTAAATTGCAATCCGTAACACTGTGATCGTCTGGGACACTTATCAGACGAGTTCCGTACACTGACACAGACGCAGCAAACCAATCTCTGAATCTGACACCTGACACCTGAAAGCGTCACAAAACGGGGAAAATAGGGAGAAGTTATGAAAAGGAAACAGTTTTTTTAGTTGTGTGTAGGTATTTTACGTTGCGCTTTTCAAGAAGGCTAGTATGCTTGTCAAGTATTTGCTAATCATACGCTCTCAATATGCACACTCTACGACAATTTTACGCACAATGCTCAAACATGTGCTTTTTTGCAAACCGGCTGGTGTTGCTATACATCTTTTCTATAAAAGCTCGGGTGGAAATTCACCCGTGCCTGCGTTTGAATATGTGTGACGACATCGTGATTGCTTCTTGTGCTCGATGACCTAATTCGGATCCTTACAGATGAATATGTGAAGCTGAAATAGGTACAGTCAATCTTTTAAACCTTTTTGAACATTCAAAGAGTGCTGCTCATAAAAGACATAGGTCAATACAGACCGTACTTTTATAGTCTACGATTAATATAATTCAATACAAAAAGGCAACTCCCTCAGCGACACATAGCGTTAGTGATGACGAGAGCAGCTCCCGGAGGTTGCAGTTCTGCACCCAGCGAAAGCCACACAGGGCTGTTGGATTCCAATCATAACACTCCTGCCGCATAAACGATAAATTGCTCGCCCATAGCTTCCCACGCATTTGTCTCTCCATCGGTCGCTCCCACCCGACTGTGCATTGGTGTAGTTTTGGCCACTCCAGTTCACTCTCGCTCTCGCTACCCCTCGCTCTTAGGACCTCTCAGTCCTGTCGCCTCGGCTATAGTTTTGGCAGCTCCCGTTCGCTCTCGCTCTCGCTACGCTTCTCTCTAGGACCTCTCAGTCTGTCGCCTCGGCTATAGTTATGGCAGCTCCCGTTCGCTCTCGCTCTCGTTACCCCCTCGCTCTAGGACCTTTTAATTCGTCGTCTCGGCTATAGTTCTAGCAGCTCCCGTTTGTTCTCGCTCTCGCTACCCCTCGCTCTGGGACCTCTCAGGCTGTCGCCTCGGCTATAGTTCCAGAAGCTCCCGTTCGCTCTCGCTCTCGCTCCCGCCACCCCTCGCTCTAGGACCTTTTAATTCGTCGTCTCGGCTATAGTTCTGGCAGCTCTCTTTCGCGCTCGCTCTCGCTACCCCTCGCTCTGGGACCTCTCAGTCTGTCGCCTCGGCTATAGTTTTAGCAGCTCCCGTTCGCTCTCGCTCTCGCTACCCTTCGCTCTAGGACCTCTTGGTCCGTCGCCTCGGTTACAGTTCTAGCAGCTCCCGTTCGCTCTCGCTCTCGCTACCCCTCGTTCTGGGACCTCTTAGTCCGTCGCCTCGGCTCCGTCTGAAAGACAGCCTTTCCGTGCTTCTTTCTTTATACTTCGAGCTATTAGCGATGACTAATTCGGGCAACAAATAAGAACACTTATTTGAGGCGTTGTATTTGCGACAGCAGGCCACTGCAGGAGCGTGGCGCGTACATCCGCCTTTTTGACGGACGGTTTGAAAGCCGGCGGCTCATCCGACCACAGTCAAATAACCAAGCCTCCAGGAAATCAGCAAAAACCTTGCATTGGTGACGTCTGCACAAGTTGGTTGAGAAATTGTGCAATATCACGGTTATATGAGCTATCATTGTAGAACATCTTTATAAATCTTTGAAGCGTTTCACTGCATTCAGCAGCCGTAGAGATTCAGTCAGCGGAACCGAGCACGAATCGGAAAGCCTGCTTATCAGGGCAGGTTCACCTGTCGACATGGGAAAACAAGTGCTCCTGGCGCGTATTCTTGCACGTGACCTGATTTCCATCGAACAACGACATAGTGCACATCAGAGCCGTGACTGCATCACGAGCTCGCGCTCCGCTGGAGCTCGGCGGCAAATTTAGCGGCCTTCGCGCTCATTTCCATTCTGTCCGGTCGTCCGTGTCGGGACCACTTTGATCCTTTGCTGACGTCACGGCTGACGTCACGGCAGGCAGGGCGCCGATGAATGGGACGGCCGCGGTCGACCGCGCTATGCCCGGCGGCGTCGCCCGAGGCACGCGGCCGGGTGGCACGGCGCTGCGGGAGGGGAACGTGATGTGCGCTGGCAGCCCGCCTCGAGTGGGGTAGGTCAGGGTCTGGCCGGCGCAGCGACACGGAGCCGTGGGCCGCCTTCTGCTGCCGCTGACGGAGACACTGCCGTTCGTAAACAGAACAGTTTCTCAGGAATCACGCAGGCTCGGTCGGTTCTGGGAAATTTCTTTGGGATGCGGACTTTGAGGGCGGGTTTGAGGGCTGGTGGAGGGGGGGGGGGGGGGGCGAGGATGCAAAGGCAATTTCAAGTCGATTTTCTTCCCAGCAGCAGAAAGTGTTCACCTTTTTTCAGGGATGGGCGACGGTTGGCCCCGCCTCCCCCCTTCGACTTTTTATGGATTCGAGAATATCCGGCTATTGCCCTGACTGCTAAAAAGACGACCTAATCGGCTTGCTCAAATGAATGGCCTTCAGAGATGGGAATCAAGCGCTTTGGAACGGACGTGTTGCCTGCGGGCTCAGAGGCAAAATAGGTACATCGGCTCGAAAGCCCACGGCGAACTTTATCCTGGTCGTGTGGTCTCAAACCGTAAGCAGAGGTGAGATATCCCCACTAAGGTATGCAAGAGGAATGAGTTCAGTTATCATACAGTTTACAGCAAGTACATTGATTTAATGTGTGTTTGCAGATCTTACTTACGGCAAGACAAGTTTTCCTGAAATTGGCCAGAGTGCAATACTGCAAAACAACGCTTACGAGCTATATAGATTTCAGGTGCGTTGACTTACTTAACTCACGGCAGTACAACTTTTCCTGCAATTGGCTAGAGTGCAGCACCGCGACCCTACCTCGGCTGGCGGCGAGGTATCATTGTAAGACATCCAGCGTTTGCAGGCGGAGGCCAACCCCAAGCCACTTCCATCGATGACGGAGCGGGCTGAGCCGCCAGGCTGAAGCGCCACGGCGACCCCTCCCCCCCTCCCCCCACACACACAGCCGCAGGGTCCTGACGCCGGGAGCGGGTCCCTCACGCCTGACGGGCCGTTTCCGACGCGACCTCGCGGCTGATGTTACACGAGCCGGGCCGGTATGCGGAGCCGAGGCGCCGGCGGAGGTCGTCGCCCGGCGATTCCGCCGGGAGACGTCCTCGTTCGTCGCTGGCCGGCGCTATTGGATGTCCCTGCCTGATTCGACTCAGAAAACGAACACCGGCGTGGATATCTCTGTTGTAAATAAACCGTAACGTCGGCAACCACATCCATCGCTGAGTTTTGCTGCTAGGAACGCTCGCATGCGCTGACATGCACTCGTGCTTCCAAAATAGATGTGGTGTATCAAACTAAACGGCACTGTCATTCAAGTTCAGTGGAGCGTAGCTGTACCCAGGCACTTGTTGTGTAGGTAGCGTGCAGAACTTGTATTTATTTCCGTGTAAATGAGCGCATATCTGCTGGTTTGATGCCATGGCTACCAAATGCGGATGCCCTTCAGTCAGATGAGAGGTTTTTGACAGCTGTCGTCACCCTTTAGCCCGTCAATACCTTCCACGTCTGGCGTTGCAGTGATATCTGTCTCGCCTCCCGCGCGGCTCGTGGACGTCCCGCGATCGCTGTCAGTCCCACATCGTCAGCGGTTTGGCGCCGGCAGCAGTCAGCGCTGAGATACAGCATAACATAAACAGAGCGACAGTCAACACCCCCACAGCGCGCCTGCTGTTCGCCCGCGGACGTTACCACCTCAGCCCGCGCAGCCGCCGCCAGTCTGTCGCCTCGCAGCGTTCCAGCAGAGCGGCCTGCGGGACGACGGCCCGCACCCCTCCCCTCTTCCAGCGCGCATTTGCTCCCCTGCGCCGCGCTCCCCTGCACAGTGCATTCTCCGCGCGCCGCCGATCGATCCAGGCGCACACGCGGCTGGGGATATAGAGCTCCGCGCGGTCAGCGGCCACCCGCCCGGCGCGACGGCTGGCGACGGCGGGCGGGCGCCGGGCGCGAACTGGCGCAGCTCTGCCGCGCCGACGGGACGGGGGAGCCGCCGCCGCCGTCGCCACCGTCGGCCGCCACCAGTGGCCCTTCGAAGCCGCGCCGAGCACGGTACGCGGCCGACCGTTGGCCAGGGACGGGGTCGTGCAGACGCGCAGTGACCTAGCCGCCTCACGAGCGGCCGCAGCCGGCGACGGACAGCGCCGGCCCCGGTGGACGGAGGTGGACGGCCTGTGGGCGGCGTGGACGAGGTGGTACCCTGGGTGGCAGACGCCGTCGGCAGGCCGCCGCGGGGCGGACCGGCGCAGGTAGGTGCTGGACGTGCTCTGTAAATGCAAGTCACGCTAATACGATTGGAATGATGCACAAAAAGCATTGCTAACACGTTGCAGGTCGTTTCAGTCTGTCGCCAGCAACGAAAATGATCTAACGCCGGGATCCGTTGTGTTTCACTGCATTGCTGGCCACAAAAGCGTCCGCATTGCATATAAACATGCCACTACCAACATTTTTTGCCCATCATGCTTTTCAGCCGAGTCGGTGCCGCAGTGCTCTCGTGTTGGAGCACTGAAACACCCCAATCATCTCCGCTCAGCCGAATTCCCACCAGTGATCTCGCGGTCTTCGACATGTCGCTGCGCTTTCCGTCCCCGAGTTCGTAGCGAGGCTGACTACAGCGACATTCAAACGCACTTTTCTCAATGTTCGCGGATCACGTGCTGTTTCCTTGCAGCCTTTGTGCAATATGTCTTAGTCTAGTGAATAAGGGCGGTTACGGCTATGGTTATGCCACTGGCAATGGTATGACAACCGAAATGGCAGGAAATAGCTGGCAGGGTTGTCAGAGTTGTCCATCTCTTCGTAGTTTGTCGTCCATGTTTCTGACCCTGTTACCTCAAGGCTATGAAGGTATTCTATGGGTTAAGTCGTGTTCCGAGAAAGTTCTGATTTGCCATGTGGGTTTCTCATATTCGGATGGACGCATGTATGCCGCACAACATATACCCCGCATCTCCTGAATTTGAGAACCACTTACGACGCACGCCAATACGTCCTCAACAACACGACTTGTGCGAATCCAAATGCATCAAACCCCGGTCGGCGCCAGTGCGGCCGCTGGGGAACGGTTGTTTTGAAGATGCTTCCATGCCGCTGGCACCCAGCGACTGAGATTGTTTTTGCTTCTGTTCGCGTGTCCGAAGAACAACAAACAATGTAATGAAACACACACTGGCCGACACATCGCGTGTATGTGTGTATGTGATGCGAGATTCACCACGCGAGAGGGGAATGGATCTAGTCATTTCAAAGACCACGCCCTGCCTTGCGAAGCTATGCGCACAGGCTACCCAGGACGACCGGCTCTCTCCCATACTATCACCAGACTGTTGCCAGACCCCACGCGGAGTCGGAGTCCTGTCCGGAATAGTCAAGATTTCAGACTGTTGCCCAACTCCACGCGGAGTCGGAGTCCTGTCCGGAGTGGTCAAGATTTCGGTGATCAAGGTGAAATAGATTCATTTTGATATTGCGTGAGTCGGAACCAGAGATCTGTCCACCGCGTAGACTCGAATCATCAATGAGTTGGTTGAGATTTAGGTGCAGATAACTTACTGTCAATATTATGACCGTTGTTCTATAGGCGACAAATGAAATGCCTCTTGTTTTGCAGTCCATTTATCAAGATGTGCGTGCGGTGTGAATTTTGTTGTACCCAACAGACCGGCTTTTAACAGTGGCCTACTAAAAATTGATTCCGGTATCAAGCTACATAACCTTGGGTCAGAATTTAAATCGACTAAAGATCGGTTTTTGGTGCTCGGAGTCAGCGAATCAGTGAACCGATAAAGTCGGAGTCGGAATCGATGGCGCCGGAGCGGAAGCCGGCATAAGACTGACTTCCACGCATAATTGACCGCACTCAGCGCTTATAAGCCGTCCGAATGTCTTGCAGTGACAAAACATTATCAAAATCTAGACAGGAGTACTCTGGTTTCATACGCTCCTCGTCTTCCTGCTCCGCCTAGTTTTGCGGCCTCCTTTTCCCGCGAAGCTCTCGTCCAGTGATAGCACGCACTGTGCGCCTGTTAGTTCCATCGCCACACGCAGTTTGCTTCGGCGTCACAAAGCCTCATGCAGCGCCCGTCGAAACGACGCGAATCCGACGCGAGCGTATCGATCCAGACCCCCGTGCTGTTTTGCCGGACGTAAGAGTCTCGTTTACCAGAACCCAGGGATTGTGCAATGGAGGCCACAGCGCGCGGTACATTCGTGGCCCAGAAACTCGCTGAGCCCGGATGACTGTAAGGACCGTACGAGATCGTCAGTCTTCATGTTGTCAGATCGCTGTTTTTTTTGCCTTGAACGGGGCGATGCGCTTGGCTGGCGGGACGGCCTTCTCGCGCCGCTCGATCGAGCGGGCCATCACGGACACCGATCGTGTTGACAGAATAGGGGCAAGTAAAGAGCAGCCAATCTTTGTAGCTTTTCCTGATTGCGATCAAGACTGAAAGCCTCACACTTGGAGATATCGGTATATATTGCCGATACGATGTAATAGCTTGAGAGGCCCAAATATATTTATTTACGGTCGTACGCCGTGTTTATAACACGTATCTGCATTGGCTGCAAGCACACACTACTCGATTAGAATATTATGCGACTAGCAACGTTAGCTTCTGCGGACCAGCTTCCATTCTCCCTTACTCTCTGCGGTTCCGTTCAGAGATAGGGTGATACTCACGACACTACCCTGTCGGGCCCGGGCCGTTGTGGCGGCTGGGCACTCTCTCTCGTGACCCGCGGGACTCCCCCGCCCCTGCTCTCTTCGGTTCCGTTCAGAGATAGGGTAGCATTCAAGACACTACCATAGTGGGGCCTGAGCCGTCGTGGCGGCTGGGCACTCTCCCTCGTGACCCGCGGGACTCTCCTGTGACCAGGCGGGACTCTCTCGTGACCAGCGGCGCGGCTCTGCTCCGCGGCGGTCACCGCCGCTCGCCGGCGTTGGCGGCGCGGGACGCCACGTCGTGCCGCGTCCGGCGCGCGAAAGCTGTCCTCCGATAATCGGTCCGGAAAGGAGAAACGAGCGGCCGCCGGTCGCAGCTGTAGCTCGAGCGAGATGATGAAGGGCCGCGCTGCCGGCCGGCGCCGCGGTGAGGCCGTGGGGACGCGGCGCGATGGCTGCCGGTTGCCGGCGTGGCGCTTTACGTGGCTTCTGACATGCCCGATCCGTTATTCATGTGCCGGTCGGAGCGAGCTGTAAAGCAGGGCTCTGACGCCGACGAGCATGAATTATGTCGCCGGTCTGCATGTATAACAGGGCTCGGACATGGATGCACTGATATGGTGTTTGCCGAGGGCGAACCAAAAGCTTTGTAGCTGGACACGAAACGTGTATTGTGGGGGCCAGGACTGTATGCGGGATTTTACACGGTCGTGGGTAACGATCCCCATAAGAGAGCTTTGATTGTATTTACATTTGACTCATGCAATATGTAGCGACTGCTCTGCAGTCAACTCAAGACGAGGGGTCAAGAGATCATCTGTTCCTTCCTAATGAAGAGCTGATAATGCTGCTTATTCGACAAGAATACAGCTTGGGGATAGTTTTGGATGTGCTTCCGTTGTCTGCACCACCGTTCGTCAAGCCTACTCGTTTAACCAGGTTAACCTCAATCTATAATACAGCACGACGATGCCGTATGAACACAGAACAGCCTGAACCCAGACGCAAGCCGCCCACCCGGAACAACCTGGAATAAACCGCAGCACAATTGCACGAAAACGCAGCTCACATTCTGCTGCCTTTCTCCAAAACGCGCCGCACCTGTCCCTCGGAACTGGGACAGCGCTTCGTCACGGCCGTCCAGCTGGCTCAATGGCCGGCTCCGAACGCAGCCGAGCACGTCCGGGGCGGGCGTCCGAGCCGCCATCCCACGCGGAGAGCCGCCGCCGCCGCCGCCGCCGCGGTCTGCGCGGCTCCTCCCACCTCCCGCAGCCCGCTGACCCACCCGGGGCCGATCCGCGCGCCGCGTCAGATTCATCATCGTCTCCACCCGCTCTCATCGCGCGGTCCGGGACGAGTGAGCAGTCGTTACCTCGTGCGAGTCAGCTTGATGAAAGCCGGCCCGCCAAATGGCGGCGGCGGCGGCGCGGCCGAACGGAGCGCGTGCGAGCGGCTGCCGCCGCTGAGGCAGCTGACGCCCGATGCCCGCGGGCGGTCCGGTCGGTCGCGTCAGGACCGCTTGGTCAGGCGACGAGCGCTACATCAGCCCTGCAGTGGGTTCTGATAACCTCGGCCAAAAAATGCGAACTGGTGGTAGACGCCCTCCACTGTATGGCAGCATGACCTTTTTGTAGGTCGCAATATCAACGTAATTAAAGACTTCATGCCTCAATGTCCAATATTTCAATCATGCTTGATGTCATTCTGACAGTCATTAAATGGACTTGGCCGATCGATGCAAGTTTTTAGTGAGATGCGCAGAAAATGCAGCATCTCTACCCGATCTATGCCTTTTGTCTTTTTGCTCACCGCTCGCTCGTAACACTGTGGTATTTTCGCAAAGTTGTAGCTGCATTATAGGCTCTGTGAAAGATCACCACACTGTACTCCCTCAGCATTGTTATATTTCATAGTCCTTCGAATCACGGTAGTGTTTCAGGCGCCACGGTGTCATCGGCTGAACATGCAAAAATGGAAAAGGACCAGCTTTGTGCTATTCTGATCTGTTGTGGCTGTGAAGACGTTCTAGAATCACAAATTTCGCTTTAAAAAAGAACAACTTTTATCACTTGGACCAGTCCTCCTAAAAATGTGTCAGACACGCAATTATTAATTAACACGTCTCATTCTGTCGAGTGCCAGCGTCGCTCGCTTTGACGTCTGCGCTATCACCCCTGCGCTGCTCGGTAGGCCATATTTCTGCTTCATTCGGCCAATTAGTGGGCATGTGTAGTCATTCATTGCACCCACTGCCAGGCGATAGCGTGCATGGTCTCAGATCATGCAAGTTTGCTGATGTGTTCACTGGTCAGACCGCATGTTTCCATTTACTATATATATGCATGGCGTAGTGGAATACGCAGGCTAGTATAGTAAATATGCATTATACATGCATATATATATATATATATATATATATATATATATATATATAGTAGGGTAGTCTGTGACCAGTGGCAGCGGCTGTGCTTAAGGTCACGCGATGCCAAAGGTTAGGACGGACTGTGTCGAGCATTGCAGCGAGTTAAGCTTTCGCAAAAATACCTGCTTTGACATGGAATGTTAAGAACGAGTGGCGGGTCG